CCCCAAATGTTTATTCTCTAGCAAAGCAAGTATTAAACTAAAGCTACGGGCAACTTTTGACAAGCACTGGAATGGGAAAGAATGGATCGCCACAATGGTTTGGATCAACTAGATTGTGTCTCAATCTAGCAAGGTCTTGTGGATTTGGGAGCTATGGATCCTGCTCCCAAGCCACGCAGACTTCCCAATTTCCCTCCACAAAGGGCAGGCTTTGTGCACATGGAGTGCACCCTTCTCTCGGTTGCACAAGATTTGTCTGTGTTCACCAGAATTCACCAATACTTTTGGGTAGGGGTGTGCTTAAGCTGAACTTCCTTTGCTTTTGATACATCCCTTCCTCTACCTCATTCCTAGCCTCAAACTGCTTTGGAGACTCCCTTCAGGTTTTAAAAGCAGCTTCTGATTCAGTGGAGTAGATAGGAGGCAGTGGGATAGAAGAAATACTGGATTTGTGATTTGTGCATGAATTTCTCAGGATTTCAATCTAGGTCTAAAGCATGGGGGTTCAACATGACAGAAGTTATGGTCCATTCCCTGGCTAGCGGAATACATTTCTTTTTTAGTAGCCAATATTTTTTTCCAATGATAAATGCATATTCCTCCCTTTACGCTCTCTGACTCTACCCCTGTGTGTGGCTCTCCCTCCCATTTGGCTTTGACAAAGACGATCTACATACACACACATATATATTTATATATATATGCGCATATATATATTTCATCTTCTGATATAAATGCTCCAGAAACCTCGTTTTCAAATCTTGTGAAACTTTATTGATGGTTTATCGTTCAACTGATCATATCGCATGCACATTACGATGACAAAGAGGAAAGCCTGATTTCACAAACACTTTTTAAAAAGCAGAATTGTTTATAGCGAGTTGGCAGGTTCACAGCGGTGAATTGATCATTTTTATTTTTATTTATTTTTAACTATAAAGTGCTCACCCCCCCTTTTTTCCTTAGGCCCGCACCATACAGATGAGAATATAATAACTATCTTCAGCAAAGAACAAAAAAAAGAAAACCAAAAAACTGTCGCAAGACAGTCTTTTTTCTGCTTTTTATTTGTTTTAAATACAAAAAACAAGAAGTTTCCCCTGACAAACACCCCCAACTTAGGTTAACTTGTAAACAGGACAACAGATGTACAGACAAACTGCAATTTTTCAGCTGTGCCAGAAACTGCCTCTTTGGCGTGAGTTTCTTCAGTGCTTTGGGGGGGGGGGGGGACCATCAGCGAATCAGACATGGGAAGTATCTGACATCAAACCACCTTCTGTTCATCTGATGAGTCTGGTGTTTTTGTTTTTAGTTGGATCCAGCGAATTTCAAACACAACAGCCTCGGTTGGGAAGTGGGGCAGGCTTGGAACATGTCGAAGAATTGCAGTTTGCTTACACGACACGGTCATGTTTCAAAAAGTACCAAGCAGATGAAAATACCATGATTATTATTATTTTTTTTTTCAATCTCTCTCTCTCTCTCTCTACTCAATGGTTGCAGTACTTGTAAAATGCGTATATAAACTTTTTTATGTTTATTTATTTATTTATTTAATATGAGCAGCATTTTAAATTCTGTAAAAATGATTATACGTGTGTTTTTGTCTCTTATCTCTTGGTCTAAACCTAAAGCGCCGTAGGTGTGTCATAATAATAATAATTCCACTGCACAGATGTAAATTTTATACACTTCCCCGCCCGCCCCCCGCCCCACCCACCCCACCCCCATTAAACCGGTACAAAGAATTTAACTTTTTTATTACTTTCTCTCTTTTTTTGGAAAAAAAAGAAAAAAAAATAGAAACAGTGCTTTTATCACCTTTTATTATTATCATTATTATCATTATTTTTTTTTAATCCTCCCGTAATATAAAAGTCTGCAATGATATCAATAATTTATTATACTGGAAGAAATATAAAAAGAAAGCTTGTTCATGTTCTAACTAGCAGAGATTTTCTCTTTCTCCTCTTTTCTTTTCTTTGTTTCTCTTTTTTCTTTTTTGCCTAAAGAACTAGTTATGCTTGGAGCTGATCTTGACTTGGTGGGTTGCCTTGAAAAGGGGTGCCCTCTGGACAGCATTAAATTAGATTTTATGTACAGGTGTCAGTTAAAGCACCCCTCTCTCCACCCTCCCGCCCCGCCCCGCCCCAGCCTCAAAATTAACAACATAACCTTTGGCTTTGAATAAATAGTGAATAATTTAAAACAGCTGATATGGGACGGTGGGTGCAGTGGCGGTCCCACTTTACGATTTAATCGTGTTGGACCCCCATCGCCACCGTCTCAACTCTCCTCTTTTCCCTCCCCTTTATAAAACAAAAATAAATGTTAGATGCGCAGGGGGGAGGGGGGACCCTGATGTCACTTTAACACTCTTACAAAACAAGTGAGGAATCCTGATAGCTTAATATTCAGCATATATAATTCATTTACATGATATAGCAGTCTTGACTGTGGCCCCCAAACAGATTTTATTTTATTTTATTTTTAAATTAGTTTCTAGCAGCTTTCTAGTTCAACCACGACAATGAAAATAAGAATAATTAATCATAATTAATCATAATATAATTTAATAATAATAACCTTCTACAGCCAGCAATCGAACTATGCAACGTTCGGAAATGAAAAGACCCACGATATTAAAATACACAGAACAAAATATCTGAGGTATAAGATAAAAAAATGTAGATTTTTTTTCCTCCTTTTTTATTTATTTTTAGAGTTGCTAAAATGATGCACTATTGCATGTATTGCAATACCCAGGCCTCGGAAAGCTTCCTTTTTTTCCCCCACATTGGAAGGGTTTTTATGGGTTTTGTCATTTAGTATGGAGCAAAACGGCTGTATCCCCCTCGGTATATACTAGCCTGCAATGAAGAAAGAACGAGACCGACATCATCAGCATGGCTCCTAGTCTTGGCATCAGTCAAGGGTGCAAAAGCATTCTGAAACAAAGCAATTTGATGGGTTGTTTTTTAAACGTCTACTTTTCTTCACAATGGGATTTGCAATGTTAATATTTTTTTCCCAAAATTTTTTTGCAAGCAAGGTTCAGGACACACCACTCAAAGCTGTTCAAACAGGTGCCAGCTGACCATTTAGTGAGCGAATCATCAGGTTATATGATGGGGGCGTATGTTTCTACCAGTTGATGGAAAGATTGTGCTCTTGTGCTCAGGTCCTGTTCGCAGGTATTCCATGATGGCCATCTGGTTGCCCACTGTGAGAATGGCATCAATGGGCCCATTGGCCTGACCTAGCAGAGCTCTTCTTAAGCTCTTGGGTTCTTAAGGCCCATGTCTCCATGGGTGGAACATCTCTTCTTCATGCAAAAGGTCCCTGGTTCAACCCCTGGCATCTCTAAGAGAGATCTTGTTCTGAAATCTTGGAGACCTGATGCCAAGGTGTTGTTGACAGTACTGAGCTAGATGGACCAGTAATCTGACTTGGTATAAGGCAACACATGTGAATCAAGACTCGGATCGAGTCCAGTGCTTGAACAGGAAGCTGCCTTAGATAATAATGGGCTGGGTAGACTCAGTATAAGTCAGCTTGCTCTTGGGGAAGAGCCATAGGTCAGTAGGAGAGGCTTACATGCAGAAGGTCCCAGGTTCAATCCCCAGCATTTACAGGCAGGGCTGGGGGTGTCCCCTTGTCTAAAATCCTGGAGAATCACCACCAGTCAGTGTAGACAATACAGTGGTACCTTGGTTCTCAAACACCTTGGTACTCAAACACTTGGTTCTCAAACACTGAAAACCTGGAAGTAAGTGTTCCGGTTTCCAAACGTTTTTCAGAAGCTGAACATCTGATATGGCTGTTGGCTATTGTTTCTGGGGCACCTGCAGCAAACAGAAGCTGTGCCTTGGTCTTTGAACATTTCGGAAATGAAACGGACTTCCGGAATGGATTAAGTTTGGCGCTTTTGTTTTTGCTATTTATTTTGCGTTTTTGTTTTTGAGGCTTATTTGTTTTTGTGACTGTGTGGAACCCAGTTCAGCTATTGATTGATTGAATGTGTGACTGTGTAAATGGATAAAAGCCTCCCCATTCAAACAATGACTATCATCAGTGCAGGTTAAGAATTTTATTTTTATTTTTTAATCATCTACAATACTGTCTTATTTATCTTATAGAACAGTACCTTGATTGTTGCTTTCATTTTATGGATCAATGGTCTCGTTAGATAGTAAAATTCATGTTAAATTGCTGCTTTACGGGTTGTTTTTAAAAGTCTGGAACAGATCAATCCATTTTGCATTCCTTTCTATGGGAAAGCGCGCCTTGCTTTTGGAACGGTCTTCCAGAACGGATTAAGTTTGAGAATCAAGGTACCACTGTACAGAGCTAGATGGACCCATTATCCGACTTGGTGTAAGGCCTCCTAAGTTCCTGCTTCATTCACAAATTAAACCCAAATATATACATGAATAATTTTTTTGGTAATTGCCCAAACCTCAAATGACTTTTCATAGGCATCTATAAAACGCATTGTAGGAAATTTTGCTCTTGATTATTGAAACAATGGTTTTGTTTTGTTTTTTGCATTTCCCTCAAAACACAACAAGAGTTTTGCCAAGCAGGACACTCCAATTTCACCTCAACCTGTTACTCATTCCTTAACACCCCCCAATAAAGTATCAGTAGGAAATTTTGCAGAGGAAAGACAGCGTAAATATTCCAAATTAAAAACAACAATTAGGATTAGGAAACCCCCGAGCACCTGAATTGTTTCCTCTGAGACAGCAATCACTGTTTGGAGATGCTATCTGTTGAACCTGGGACCTTCTGCATGCAAAGTAGATGTTCTTCCTCTGAGATATAGACCTTTCCCAAATGAAATCAATAGAGCCGTGCTCCCAGTGGGGCTAGATAGACCCATGACAGCCTGGTCCATCCAAGCTGTGCATGGGAACAGACCTGAGTTTGTCCCATTCCTGCTTCCATGTGGGTTTCAAAGGGAAAGTCCTTAAAAATATGCCTAGAAATAGGAATGGGGTGTGTGTGTGTGTGTGTGTGTGCGCGCGCACACACACACACACACACACACACACACACACAGTGCCCTGTGATAGTTTTGCATTCATTGAAATAAAGGTGGGTGTCATCTCACCCAGGGCCAGCCCAATACATCTTGCAGCCCAAGGGTGACTGTGCTCCTTCTCTATTCCAAGTACAGAAGCAAACTGGACTGGAAGTTAAAACTTACTTCAGCACTGTTGATGGGATAGGGTTCTCCACTGCACCTGAGAAAGCAAGCCAGATTACGGGGTCTAGAAAAACCCCCAATGCAGTAGCTGGGCAGAGAAGCGGGGGTTAGAAGGATCAGATGGGAGAGTGCTGCTTGCCTAATGGTAGAACAAATCCCTGATCCCACTCCATCTCATCCCACTTTCATGACTGGCCTCTAAAGACAACATTCTGCACTGAGTACAAGTTGTTGGCTTCTGCTTAGGCAAATGATCTGAAAGATTTTAAGATCAGCATAAAAATAATAATTTTAATAAGATAAGAGAAATTTATTGGGAGAGGGGTAAAGAACCTAGGAAACCGCCAACACTAAGCTTAGTTGTTTAGCTAAGTGTTATCTACACTGAGCAGCAATGGCTCTCCATGGGGTCTGAAAGACAGCAAGTCTTTCCCAGTTGTACCTTGAGATGCCAGAGGTTCAACCTGGGACCTTTTATATTTAGAGCATGTGCTCTACTACTGAGCTGTGAGCATGTGACTGTCACTAGTGCATGATGTACTTTTGGAAGCCCAGGGCTAGTGGGAAGCCCCAGTTTGTAGAAGCTGTCATATTCCACCTAAAGTAAAAAATGGAAGCTAATTTGGGGTGGTTGCTCTTCATGTGAAACACTGGAGAAATGGAAAGAAGAATAAATCTTTCTCACGTAGGTTCTGCATTTTTAATCTCCGCAAAATTATAAATAATAACAACAACAATAATAATATTAATGTCGCCCATTTGATACCAAGTGATTGGAAAGAACATAAGGAGATCCCTGCAGGATCAGGCCAGTGGCCCATCTAGTCCAGCATCCTGTTCTCACAGTGGCCAACAAGAAGCCTGTGGGAAACCTGCAAGCAGCACTCAAGCAAAAGAGGATTCTCTCCTCCTGCAGTTTCCAACAGCTGGTATTCAGAAACAATACTGTCTCCAAAAACTGTAGCAAAAAACTAGAACCCCAAACCCCAGTATAAATATTTCCTATAACTTACTCAGCTCTGCTATTTCTCACTTCAGTGAGAATGTTATATTTTAGGGTCTCTTTTGCATAGTAAACACAAGTAGTTCATGCTACATGAAAGTAAAGTAAAGGTAAAGGGACCCCTGACCATTAGGTCCAGTCGTGGCCGACTCTGGGGTTGCAGCGCTCATCTCGCTTTATTGGCCGAGGGAGCTGGCGTACAGCTTCCAGGTCATGTGGCCAGCAGGACTAAGCCGCTTCTGGCGAACCAGAGCAGCACACAGAAATACCGTTTACCTTCCCGCCAGAGCGGTACCTATTTATCTACTTACACTTTGACGTGCTTTCGAACATCCATTTAAAAACAAAAAGCTGGGTGAATATAAATTTAGGTGATATCAATTTAGACTCAACCAGATCGAGAGACCTTGGCGTGATTACAAGATGTCTGGGTTTCCATCCAGTTACATTACTTTAACATTCCTGGAGGAAAGATTCTTTGGGAAAGTTGTGAACAATTGCTAGAGAGATGCAAAAGACTGTCATTTTTTATTTTTCATCTTGTATTTTATCTATCAACTGTACATGGGTATCACACATTCAGAGAAGTTATTTGCAGACCCTGATGCATGTACAATTTGGCAACACACATTTGTATCATCTGCAACTGGATCCATTGTGCCTCATGTTAAAGAGATACACACTCTCTTTAAGTCAGAAAAGGGGGAATGCCCTTCCAGATGATGTTGTACTATAAATCCCATAACCCCTGACCATTGTTCATGCTGGCTTCTGGGGCTGCCAGGAGTTGGAGACCAACAGCATAAGAGTTGTAGGAGAAATTCAGTTCAGTTCACATTTCAGTGTAAAACTTCCTAATTTGCATATCCTGAAAGCGTTATGTGAACAACAGTAATGTATGCTTGCGAGGGTGAGGCTGGGATCAAAGGGTGTGCGGCTGTTGTGTCCTTCCCTTTCCACCCTGCCTGTCCTGCAACACGTCCCTAAAATGGGGGTGAGTCCATCTACATTCTGGATTATGAGTAGACTATACTGCAGAGCAGAAGGGAAGGGTATGTATTCATATTGGGCACAGATACATCAAAAGTTGGGTGTGAATCAGTCTTGATTAAATCAAATGGACTCACAGTTTTCTGCAGTTAATTTTCATTTCGCTGCTTTTCCATTGGTTGTGACTAACATTTTGCTTGATTGCCCTGATTATCTTAATTTAAGATAAACATGGTCCCACATAACGCCCCGGGAGGGTTATTTTCTCCTAATGCAAAAGGCCAGTATTGCCCAACAAAATGTCCCCATGGGGTCTTTTTATGTGTACATTTCAGTTTCACATAAATCACCCTTCCTGTGGAGGGGGGGGTGTACGCACCTGGTTAACTTTATGCAACAACTGGAGAGGACTGCTGAATACTCTCCTATCCTCTACTCTTTTCAGTACAGCTATAATTTTAAATATTAACTCTAATAATAAGGGAGAGAAAATAGCAGGGATTCAGGCTGACTGACAGCAGAGGCCGGGAAATCTCAGTTTCAGCTCTTTATACTTATAATCACTGGTGTGACTTGAACCTTCAGGCAATGTAAATTCAAGGCAAAAGATTGGGGTTGGGGGGAAATAAAGAAAAGAAAAGAAAAAGAATGGAGGCTACTGTGAAGGCATTCAATTTGTGATGTATTTAATTATCAAAATGACTAATTGTTCCATTAAGGTAAGTGCTCACCTAGGAGATATATATATATATATATATATATCCTTATGTGTGCTACATTGCCAAGAAATTAAGACATTTGTCAAGTTTACCGGGAAGGATTAATGTGGCATTTTAGCTGCCGTTAGCAGAAGAGACAAATTCAATTAAGGAAAAGTGAGAAGATGTCAACCATGCTAAGAACTGGGGAGAGGGGAGGAGGAGGGGAGGTTCGGGGCAGACTGGGAGGCAGGGAAGGGGGAGGGGAGTAGATAAATCAGCACTTACCACGGCACCAACGCCGTAGGTGGTTGCTGGAGCAAGTGTGTGGTGGTAGGGGTCTGCAGCATAAAGTCGTCCGTAACTAAAAAGAAAAGAAAAGAAAGCAGAGCTGAGGATTAATAAAAGAAAACCAAAGCAACCCCAGAGGTTAAAAAAGAAACGGAAAGGAATTGCAAAATGAATGCAATCAAACATTCCACTCTATCCAATTACACTGGAAATGAACTGACTCAGCACGTTATGGACGCAATATCCTCTGGGGAAATGGGTTCAGTTTACAAATGAAAAGGAGGAAGGGGGGGGAATGGCTATAATTAGCTTTACGAGATTGAATGCAAAGCAAATGTGCAGCCATGGCTGCAGAATAGGTATGTTTTCAACTTAAGGGACCTGGTCCCCACCCTACCCCCTCAAGGAAGCCTTAGGTGATTCCCAAAAGTGTGATGGACATAAGTAGAAAATAAATGGGGAAATAAGATATAAAATATCAAAGAACAAAAGGTTCTCTCAAAGGTTTTTTGTATAAAATGTTCCAAGCAGCTGTTAAGAAGCAGTGTGCCTCTTCGGCCGACAATCCAAATGGCAATGCAACTTCTTGTTTTTGTTGTTGTTAATGGATGATAAATGCAACTAAGTGGGCAGAATTTGGTTTCTGAGTGGGAAGCAACTGGGCAAGGTGACCTTTCCTAGCATCCTCTTATATGACACCTGGAATACAGGGCAAAATGGTGGCGCACAAAGAAACATGCATCAGAGAACAGTGGTTCTTGATATGACAAAGAGTGACAGATCTACATAAATGGCCATATGGAGAGTTTTCTCCACTTGCCCTTTTTCAAATGCAAAGTTCAACTTGCTCATATTTAGGAATATAGGGACAATGGAAGCTGCATTATACCAAGTCAGACCTTTGGTCCATCTCCCTCAGTAGCACTGTATTCACTGACTGACAGTACCTGATCTCCAGGGTTTCAGAACAGATACATTCGCATTCCTACCTGGAGATGCTAAGGATTGAACATGGGACCTTTGCTGTGCAAAGCAGATGCTTTACCACTGAGCTATGGAGATGCTCCCTATAGCCAACAGCTGGCAGTGTTTCCATGGAGTCGCCCACCTAACTTTTTGCCATTGTTGATTCTGTTTAGCCAGTAAGTTTCATCTGTCTAGCAACACCCCAAGTTAAGGACATAGGAAGCTGATTTTCACCAGATCAGGTACTTGGTCCTATCTCAGTGTTGTCTATATGGTGTCAAGGGGTGCGGTAGCTATAGTGTGATGAGAATGTATGAAACGTGCCAAATTTTCACTCATTTAAGAAAAAACTAGGAAGAAGAATATTACGCATGTGAAGCTTCAAGTCATTCCGGTTAACCTTCTTTATTGCACCTGTTTTACTCCCTGCTTCTGCCTCTAATTTGCAGCTTTGGAGCCATTTTTCTTTTTAAAAACAGGCAAACATGGACTTTTGCCTCCAGTAACCCCATCCAATCAGGGAAATGCATGTTATCGTGAAGCTAAATCTGATAGTAGACAAGGGAAAACTATCTTTACTCTCAAAAGGCTTTCTGAGGCTGCTATGTAGCCAATTGGATATGGATACAGGATGATGCCACTAAGCCAAGTCAGAGTGAGGGTAATCTTTCATCCCCAAATATGAGGGGACTCTCTCTCTCTCTCTCTCTCTCTCTCTCTCTCTCTGTGTGTGTGTGTGTGTGTGTGTAATTCACCCCTTCCCCATTTTGTGTCTGCCTTACTTCACACACCTGCAGTAATCCTATAGCTAACAATGTTGAGATTACTTCTGTAGGTGCTTTAACAAGAGCTTCTTTTTAAAAGAAAGCACTGCAATGTTTCGGATTCAGCCTGAAGTGCGAAAAGGTTATTCATTGCAAATGGTTTTCCTTTCACAAAGTCCAAAGAGAAATGTTGTTACTTTGGTCTATACAAAATGGAAAGCATTTATCTTGTCATAAATCTTGACTGATGAGTTTCTCACTTTGGCAGAAGTTGCTCTGACAAATTAGGACCAAATAATACTGGTGTTTTTGTGCGGTAGCAATGAATGTGTCTCTTTGTTTAGCAATTTAAAAGGCAGCTGTGGCGGAGGGGGACACAAAACATGATTAGCCTTTTCCCCAACAATGTAGATTGAAACATGTGATGCATTTGAGGGTTTTTGCCACAGGAAGACTAGGTGCATGTGCTGTGCAACATTTAATTCATGATTATTATTATACATTTATTTATACCCTGCCTTTGCTCCTGATGGGACTCAAAGCAGCTTACATATAAAAGCAAGAATCACTAAAACCATAGAAAAAAAAATAAAAAACCAAACATTCATATAATTAAAACTGTATTTATTTATAAAATCTGTTTAAAGCATACAAATGATTACAGTAAAAAGAGCTGTGAGTTCCCAAAAGTCTGTTGGAAGAAGAAGGTCTTCACTTGCCAACAGAAGGACCACATAGAGGGGGCCTGTCTAGCTTCTCCAGGAAGGGAATTCCAAAGTCTGGGAGCAGGCAATGAGAATTTAGCTGTTGTTCGTGATCAAATAGACACCCCCCCTCCCCGCACTGAAAGACACTGGGAAATATCCAACTAAGAGTAGATCCATTGAAATTAATTGTCCTAAATTAGATGTGTCCATTAACTTAAATGGGTGTACTCTGAGTAGGATTAGAAGTTATGCTTGTTTTAATTCAGATAGTAGAATAATGTGGGGACCTGCAACTAAATGTTGCAATCTGGAGTGTTTGGAGCTCCGCTCTCTTCCCAAATACGCCACTCCTTGACCCTTCCTAGATCCTCCTGCCCTCACCACCACTCAACTGTCAGACAGCAGTCTGCAGCTACTCAGCATCCTCAATTCTCATTCAGATGCTTTGGGGATACCCTCGCTTAGGTTTTTTTCCCCTCCTCCTCCTCACATCTTTACTTTTTCATTTCTGAAAAACTTAACTGGGTTCCCCCCCTGAATTGTGCTTATAATTGATTGATTGAAAAGATGAATAGCACACTTTGCAAGAAGAAGAAAATCTTCAGAAAGTGGTTTGTAAAATGACTGCCCAGAGATGTTGAATAAAGTATAGTTTACAACCATTAATGCATTTCACATTCTCGCTGTAATATGCCAGCAATTACCCAACACAAACTATCAGAGACAAACCACAGACCTTCTATAATACATTTCCTGCATGTGGGAGTGTATGTTGTTGTTGTTGTTGGTGTATGTGGTATTTAGAGAGGGGAATCACCTGTGGTGGGGGACACACCGTGGTCTCACCTGCGGCTCCTAGAAGCTGTCAGAATGCAACAGCAGCCACAGCACACAAACTGCTTTGACTGGCTGGCTAAACCAGATGGGGGTAGCCAATGGGTCTCAAACCTTTGGTTGTTTCATTGGGTTGTTTTTGTTTTTATTATGTATTGTGTGTTTTTTATATTGTAACCGCCCTGAGACATGCAGGTATAGGGTGGTATACAAATTTAATAAATAATACAATTATAATAAAAATAGTTGGTAAGTTAGGGACTTCCCTTGAATGAAGAGATGGGTTCTGGCAGATTGAGTGGATGAGAGCAATAGTAAGTCCAACAGTCCAGGAGGCAGTTTCTGCACATGCTGTATAGGGAAGTGAGAGGCAGATGGGGCTCATCAACCTGGGAAGGGAGCCCATCTAGGAGAAGGAAAACTGGCCCTAAACCTCCTCTGCCTTGTGGGATATCTTTGGGAGAAGAGGCGGCTAAGAAGTAAACTCTATACAACTCTATGCAACTCCTACCTAAGACGGCACCTAAGATGGCACCTTCTATGCCTCTTTCTAGCAACTTTTGCAGCCAGATTGGTACTCTGGACAACATTATTGAGGCCGAGAGGAGTGGGGTCTTGTAGTCTGGGCAGCCCAGGACCTCCATACACACTGCTCAGACTTGCATCCTGGGGAGGTCACTTTGGTGCTACTATTGCAGCAGTTTGACTTCTCCACAGGTGCACTCCATTTTCTCAAGACAGATGGATGCCAAAAATAACCAGCACAATTATTATTATTATTATTATTATTATTATTATTATTATCCTCATCATCACCATCATACCTCATTGCCATAACTGGCTTCAAGGGGGGCTACAGATATTAAAATATATGAAGAGTGTGCACTTGTTACGAAAAAGGACAAAATAAAAAAATGAAATGAATTAGTTCGAACAGGAATCAAAACAAATGATTTCCAAATGAAAATAAAACAAGTCCTTTCTTCACTGTTTCTATTAGGATGTAATAGAGATAATTACAGGTGTAACTACAGCACTAGTTAGAGAAAGGCTAAAGGAACTGGGAAGAGGAATAGTAGTTGAAATGGACAGACAGAAAATTGATGTCTACCAAATGGTGACATGGTGTTCTCTCTCTCCTTCAAATTTGACACAGCTGGGTCTTTGGAGTGGGAGTAGAAAGCCTAAACATTTCATCCTAATAACCACAAAAGTTGTACATAGGAGAAATGTAACTGGATTTCATATTGAAAGCAATGGGGATTGTAAGGGATGTGTGCCTTTTTAAAATTGCCTCAAACCAAGGATCCTTTCTACAGTTTCTTTGAAACTTGGCAGTTGTCCTGCTTTGAACAGTAGAATGCCTGAAAGTCTCAGGCCATGTGGGTGGCAAACACGGTAGTTACAGGTATCCCGAGGCTGGTTGGGTCCCTTGTTGACAATAGTGAAAAATGAAAAGAAATGAGAATGGCGAAAACGAATGGACTAACTTTGAATCAATTGTTAAAATAAACGGAAAACAAATGAATGGAGAGCTAAAGCAAATAAGACTTTTAATGGTGGATATAAAGGACGCGGGTGGCGCTGTGGGTTAAACCACAGAGCCTAGGACTTGCCGATCGGAAGGTTGGCGGTTTGAATCCCTGTGACGGGGTGAGCTCCCGTTGCTCGGTCCCTGCTCCTGCCTACCTAGCAAGTTTGAAAGCACATCAAAGTGCAAGTAGATAAATAGGTACCACTCCAGTCGGAAGGTAAACGGTGTTTCCGTGCACTGCTCTGGTTCGCCAGAAGCGGCTTAGTCATGCTGGCCACATGACCCGGAAGCTGTACGTCGGCTCCCTCAGCCAATAAAGCGAGATGAGCGCCGCAACCCCAGAGTCGGCCACGACTGGACCTAATGGTCAGGGGTCCCTTTACCTTTACCTTTATGAATGAAGCAACTAAATTCCACTTCTTTCCTTTCTCCACTAGCAGATTTCTAAGATGTACTGTGAGGTGCAAGTTGATTCCTGCCTGACCCTAAAAAGCCCTACAAAACAGCTTTTCATATGTCTCCACAGACAGTTTTGTGAAAGCAAAGTTATACATGGGTGGCATACCTAAATTAAAACACCATGGAATAATAATAATAATAATAATAATAATAATAATAATAATAATTCATTTATTTAATGAACACAGAGAAAGCAGAATTATATATAAACTGAGGCCAGAACTGACATTTTCCTTATCGCATACCTGGAACTCTACTAACTTCAAGGATGCACCATTCATTTTAGGTGGGGGTCCTATACCTCTGTCTCTTAGATGGTTTTGGCCCACTTGAGTGGCAAAGTAAACCACACAAGAAAGATGGAAGCAAGGCATTCTGGGGTTTTCCTTGGGCCAATCAGCATGGGCCAAAATCTACCCTGTAGGCAAGTGCTGCTCTTATAAGCCAATATTGCAACCCATCCACCTACCCACACTTGGTAAAATGTTGCCATACCTGGGGGTGGGGAGGGGAGAGGTAGAGGTAGAGGTAGAGAAGGATTTCTTTGTGGTACCGTGTGATGGCTGTCAGGGCATCATTTTTCACATACCCCTCACTGCTGTTTACATCTGGGATGTGGTGCTATAGATCAGGCTAACTGGTTGGGTGGGAGATTTGTATAGCTCACCCGTGCATGAGGGACATCTGACCAAATATCTCCCATTGGTGACAGGATCCCCACCTGTGATTCAGGCCAAATTCTGATAGCAGTTCAGTGCCTTCTCCAAAATGAACAAGGCAAATCCATCAAATGGGTCACTTCATTGGCCTCTACCAGCAAAGAGCTATTGCTGGGATGATTCGCTTACTGCTTTTAAAGAGAACGCTCCCCTCTTTGTGTAATACAAGAGGGTCAAACTCTTCATGAAGAAACCTAAGCATCAGCATATGCAGGGAGACATTTCCAAACAACAGCCATGCAGATATTATCTGAGAATATATATTGAGTGCTCCCCCCTTTCATGTGATGAATAAACTTTCTTTTTCTTCCTCAGGGTGACCTCTGCCTTCAGAATATGATGGTTTTATTATGATTAATAAATTTCATTTCCACAGAGGAAAAGGAACAGTGTCAGCTTAAACGGAGAGCATGCTGGCTCCCTTCTTTTTAAATGCTAATTTCAAAATGCACCCTTACATGACACAAAAATTGAAACGCTCATGAGGGTTAGCCCTCTGGATGCAGATACCCCTCTCAAAGGGATGCCAGGGCAGGAAACACACTAGGGGTGTTCAGATGTCACATTCAGTGTGTGTACAACGGGTATACATGTGTACACAAACAGTTGAGATGCGCAAAGATGGGGCTCAGGTGTGACTCATGATGTGGACATAAATGCATTTGAGCATCTTCATCTGCACATGTTGTGTGTATGTGGAAAGTTGCCTATGCAAACGGATTGATGGAGTGAGGCCCTTGAATACAAAGCATCTCTCTAGTGTTCTGTACTTTGTAGCCTTCTTGGGTACCTAACTTTCCCAAAATAGTAATTAAAAAACCCAATTTCCTCAGCTGGGCTGTTGCAGTGTATCTTTTTCCTATTGTTGCACTCAGAGGAAGGGAACACAGGAAGTGTTCTCTTCTGTTATGTTTCAATCTTTTAATTATGGAAGCTCATTTGAACTAAGAACATAACATAAGTAGATGTGGATAGAAAAAGTTTTCCCCTCCCTCTCATAACACTAGAACCTAGGGAGATGCAATGAAGTTGAATGTTGGAAGATTCAGGACAGAGGAAAGTAAGTGATTCTTCTTGCAATGCATAAACTATGGAACTTGCTCCTACAGAAGGCAGTGATGGCCACCAACTTGGATGACTTTAAAAGGATTAGACAAATTCATGGAGGACAAGGCTATCAGTGACTACTTGCTGCAGTGGCTATGCTCTGCCTTGGTAGTCGGAGGCAATAATGCTTCTGAATATCAGTTGCTGGAAACTGCAGGAGGAGAGAATGCTCTTTTGCTTGCGTCCTTCATGCAGGTTTCCCACAGGCATCTAGTTGGCCATTATGAGATGCTGAACTAGATAGGCCATTGGCCTGATCCAGTTGGCTCTCCCTATGCTTCTATGAGACAGAACATTGTAATTACATGTTTCAGACTGTATTTGTTGTGACATTTCCCCCTCTTGCCTAAGTATGAGTTGCGTAGAATACAAACTTGTGGCTAAGGAAGCCAAACACAGATCTGCCTGTTAGGTGCGCGATACCTAGATCACCTCCATTTTTGTAGTCCCATCAAAGCAGGAAAAAAGCCCCTGCCAAGTCAAGAACACATAGGGGCATGAGAACAAAGGAAACTGCCTTATAGTGAGCCAGATCATTGGTCCATCTAATGCAGTATTGCTGACACTGACTGGCAAAGGCTCTCTTGGGTTTCAGGCAGGGAATCTTCATGATCCCTAGCCAGAGATGCTGGGGTCTGAACCAGAGAAACCAGGATGCTAAGCAGGTGCTCTACCACTGAACAATGGCCCTTCCAACTATGACTCTACTGTAGGCATTCACACCACACACACACACACACACTTCAATCTTCTATCTCTGCTGGAGCATTTTGCGCTTTCTGTATAGCTGGGGAAACTGCATAATCCTAGGATTACTTGCACACTCCGTTGCCCATGCGTGCTCTTACAGAGACCCGCACACATGCTTGAGTGTGGCACAAACAGAGATAATTCTCTCTCTCTCTCTCTCTCTCTATATATATATATATATATGCACTGCTTTGTTATCAATGGAGGTTTGGAGTGCAACCCCTTCCATTTACAAATTGCAGAACCCCGGCCTGCCTTAATCTTGTCAAGTTGTCACGTTTGACTAGCCATGCAGACTGACCTAGAACTGCGAGCGCAAGAAAGGCAAGCTGTCAAAGAGATAATGACAAAGATGCCAGGAGGGTTTGCCAGTGTTTCTCGCTGAGCGAGAGGGAAGGATTAATCAAACTTTAGCTATGCAAGGGGAGAGGATAATCCGAGTGTCGACTGGTGGCTGTCCCTGTCGTCGCGCCTCTTACCCTGACAGCTAACCTGTAGAAGATGGCCTGGGAGGGGGTGGGGGGAGATAAAGAGGAAGTCAAGGCCCATGAAAGGCATATACCACTATGGACTACAGCAATAGAAAGATGCTTTGAAAGTGCCAGACAATATAAAGGATAGTTGGATTTATTGGGGAGATTCAATTGTGCACCATAGCACAATAGAGGAGGGGTTGCCAACATAGGGCTTGTTCACACTTCCTCTTGTCCCATGCCTAGAAAGATTGGGTCTGAGTGGTTTTCCCCTTGCCTCACTCCTTTCCCACTCTCAGAGCTAAACAGAGCAACCGTCTATCCACAGAAAACCCAAAAGCCATTTGCTCTAATAGTGTGCTAAAGAATGGTTTCCCCCATTCTTGAAGTGGCTGAGACTGGGGCAAGGGGTAGCAAGGTCAGAGCCATGTGGTTCCACCAGCAGAACCAACATCACAAATCCAGAGCCTTTGCTGGATGGCTTGATCAGTTGTTCAGGCATAGATGACTTCAAGGCTGGATTACTGCAATGCGCTCTATGCGGGGCTTGCTTTGCGTTTGGACTGGAAAATGCAGTTAGTGCAGAACGCTGCAGCACGGTGGTTGGCAGGAGTGAAACACTGTCAGCATATAACAGAAACAAAATTAAAAAATTCCTTCCAGTAGCACCTTAGTGACCAACTAAGTTTGTTATTGGTATGAGTTTTCATGTGCATGCACACTTCTGTATCCGAAGAAGTGTACATGCACACGAAAGCTCATACCAATAACAAACTTAGTTGGTCTCTAAGATCCAACTGGAAGGAATTTTTTTATTTTGTTTCGACTACAGCAGACCAACACAGCTACCCTACCTGTAATTAGCATATAACAGAGTTCTGCTCAGAGATCTGCATTGGCTACCAATTTATTACTGGGCCAGACTCAAGCTGTTATCAATATGTAAGGCCATTAACTACTTGGGGCCAGTTTACTTACCCCATATATAACTACTCTGATCTGTGGAACTGGGACTTTTACAGGCACTACAAAATGTTCATGCTGCACTTGGAAGTCTGGCAGCTGTTACAATCTGGAACTCTCTGCCTATTGACATTAGGCAGACACTTTCCCTGTATCTTAAAAACCACTTCTGCTGAGGCTAGCATATCCATGCATGTAAAGCTGACATGTATTTTAATCAGTACTTTTAGAGTTCTAGCCATAGTTAGTTCTATTCAGAGCAGACCCATGGAAATTAATGAACATGACTGACCAAGCTTTATTAAAGTCAGTGGATCAACTCTGAGTTACATGTTAGCCGAATAGAACCATAATAATAATAATAATAATAATAATAATAATAATAATAATAATTTATTATTTCTACCCCACCCATCTGGCTGGGTTTCCCCAGCCACTCTGGGCGGCTTCCAACAAAAGATTAAAAATACATTAAAACATCATTCATTAAAAACTTCCCTAAACAGGGCTGGCTTCAGATGTCTTCTAAAAGTCAGAGAGTTGTTTATTTCCTTGACATTTGAAGGGAGGGTGTTCCACAGGGCGGGCGCCACTACCGAGAAGGCCCTCTGCCTGGTTCCCTGAAACCTCCCTTCTCGCAGTGAGGGAACTGCCAGAAGGCCCTCAGCACTGGACCTCAGTGTCTGGGTTGAACGATGGTGGAGACGCTCCTTCAGGTATAATAATAATAATAATAATAATTTATTATTTGTACCCCGCCCATCTGGCTGGGTTTCCCCAGCCACTCTGGGCGGCTTCCATAGAAACAAAAAATACAGTAAAATATCACAGATTAAAAGCTTCCCTGAACAGGGCTGCCTTAAGATGCCTTCTAAATGTCAGGTAGTTATTTATCGCAGTATACTGGGCTGAGGCCGTTTAGGGCTTTAAAGATCAGCACCCACACTTTGAATTGTGCTTGGAAACGTACTGGGAGCCAATGTAGGTCTTTCAGCCCTTAGCTTATAATGTATACTTTTGTCAATTTTTTTTCATTTCCCCTTTTCATAAGCTTATTTTTAACATTTGTTTTCTACTGACAATTTCTAACATTTATTCTTTGCAAACTGCTTAGAGGCTTTATTTACAGTAAAATGGTAAGCAAATGTTGTTGAATAATTAGGTAAAATAAACTGCATGGCTCTGCCTTTGCTGCTGCGGTACTCTACCACAAACTTGTCCAGCTAAGCACCCACGTTCTTGGTGTTGGGAGGACTCTGCCCCATCCACACACCCTATTACTGGAGAGCTCATTGCCACTACAAGGTCCTCTTTGGTCTAAAGCGCTACATAACGATGCCAAGTAAATAAAAATCTGAATATCAGTTGAATAGGATTCTTAGGCAGATCTACATTCATTGTTTTTAACGTTAAGGAAGGGTTAAGGAGTGGTTTTCATAATGTACCGTACTTTTCCATGTATAAGACAAGGGTTTTTTTAGTCTAAAATACTGTAAAAAATAGTGGATCATCTTATACATGGATAGTGCAGAGCAGGGATGGGCGATTATATAATAATAATAATAATAATAATAATAATAATAATAATAATAAATTTATTTATACCCCGCCCATCTGGCTGAGTTCCCCCAGCCACTCTGGGCGGCTTCCAATCGAATGTTAAAAACAATACAGCATTAAATATTAAAAACTTCCCTAAACAAGGCTGCCTTCAGATGTCTTTTAAAGATAAAATAGCTTATCTTGGTTGCAGCTGCGAGCAGGAGCTTGTCTATGGCAATTGGGTGGGTGATTGGTGGCAGCAAGCGGGCAGACGGTTGGTTGCATCAGCGACGCATGCGATTGTCAGTGTTTGTCAGTCATGTGAGAGATATTAGGCATTCCCCCTCCCCAGAAAAAAGCTCAAGAACTCTGGGCAATCCCCCCCTACAAAAGCTCAACAACTCTGGGCCATCTCCCCCCATTTTCTTAAATTGGAGTCCCCAAAAATAGGGGTAGTCTTAACACGGGGGCGTGTTATACATGGAAAAATACGGTACTTGGACACATGACGTCCTACTTTTAACATTCATAATGTTGACACCAGAGGGCGCTGCGGAGCAACCAGCAGTAGGGAGACGGTATTTTGATGGGGAAAAACAAAGGTAAGAAGCACTTTAATTTACAAGTATTCCTTGTGCTATTTTAGGAGGATATATCTTAATATCGTTCTAATAACATTAAACAGGTCAGTGTAGAATCATAGAATCATAGAATCATAGAATCATAGAGTTGGAAGAGACCTCAAGGGCCATCGAGTCCAACCCCCTGCCAAGCAGGAAACACCATCAGAGCACTCCTGACATATGGTTGTCAAGCCTCTGCTTAAAGACCTCCAAAGAAGGAGACTCCACCACACTCCTTGGCAGCAAATTCCACTGTCGAACAGCTCTCACTGTCAGGAAGTTCTTCCTAATGTTTAGGTGGAATCTTCTTTCTTGTAGTTTGGATCCATTGCTCTGTGTCCGCTTCTCTGGAGCAGCAGAAAACAACCTTTCTCCCTCCTCTATGTGACATCCTTTTATATATTTGAACATGGCTATCATATCACCCCTTAACCTCCTCTTCTCCAGGCTAAACATGCCCAGCTCTCTTAGCCGTTCCTCATAAGGCATCGTTTCCAGGCCTTTGACCATTTTGGTTGCCCTCCTCTGGACACGTTCCAGTTTGTCAGTGTCCTTCTTGAACTGTGGTGCCCAGAACTGGACACAGTACTCCAGGTGAGGTCTGACCAGAGCAGAATACAGTGGCACTATTACTTCCCTTGATCTAGATGCTATACTCCTATTGATGCAGCCCAGAACTGCATTGGCTTTTTTAGCTGCCGCGTCACACTGTTGGCTCATGTCAAGTTTATGGTCAACCAAGACTCCTAGATCCTTTTCACATGTACTGCTCTCAAGCCAGGTGTCCCCCATCTTGTATTTGTGCCTCTCATTTTTTTTGCCCAAGTGCAATACTTTACATTTCTCCCTGTTAAAATTCATCTTGTTTGTTTTGGCCCAGTTCTCTAATCTGTCAAGGTCGTTTTGAAGTGTGATCCTGTCCTCTGGGGTGTTAGCCACCCCTCCCAATTTGGTGTCATCTGCAAATTTGATCAGGATGCCCTTGAGTCCATCATCCAAGTCGTTGATAAAGATGTTGAATAAGACCGGGCCCAAGACAGAACCCTGTGGCACCCCACTAGTCACTCTTCTCCAGGATGAAGAGGAACCATTGATGAGCACCCCTTGGGTTCGGCCAGTCAGCCAGTTACAAATCCACTGAGTGGTAGCATAGTCAAGACCGCATTTTACCAGCTTCTTTACAAGAATATCATGAGGCACCTTGTCAAATGCCTTGCTGAAATCAAGGTAGGCTACATCCACTGCGTTCCCTTCATCTACCAGGCTTGTAATTCTGTCAAAAACGAGATCAGGTTAGTCTGACATGACTTATTTTTCAGAAATCCATGCTGACTATTGAGTGATCACAGCATTCCTTTCTAGGTGCTCACAGACTGTTTGCTTAATGATCTGCTCCAGAATCTTCCCTGGTATTGATGTCAGACTGACTGGGCGGTAATTATTTGGGTCCTCTCTTTTCCCCTTTTTGAAAATAGGGACAACATTTGCCCTCCTCCAGTCTGCCGGGACTTCGCCTGTTCTCCAGGAATTCTCAAAGATGACTGTCAGTGGTTCTGAGATCACATCTGCCAGTTCTTTTAATACTCTTGGATGCAGTTCATCTGGCCCTGGAGACTTGAATACATCTAAACTAGCCAAGTATTCTTGTACTATCTCCTTAGTTATTCTGGGCTGTGTTTCCTTTGCTGAATCATTTGCTCCAAATTCTTCAGGTCGGGCATTGTTTTCTTTATCGGAGAAGACTGAGGCAAAGAAGGCATTGAGGAGTTCAGCTCTTTCTGTGTCCCCTGTTTGCATTTCACCATCTTCTCCTCTGAGTGACCCCACTGTTTCTTTGTTCTTCCTTTTGCTACGGACATACCCATAAAAGCCTTTTTGTTGCTTTTAACCTCTCTAGCAAGCCTGAGTTCATTCTGTGCTTTAGCTTTTCTGACTTTGTGTCTACACGTGCTGGCTATTTGTTTGAATTCCTCTTTGGTGGTTTCCCCCCTTTTCCATTTTTTTTGTACACATCCTTTTTTAATCTTAACTCAGTTAAAAGTTCTTTAGATAGCCACCCTGGCTTCTTTAGGCACCTTCCATGTTTCTGTCTCATTGGTATTGCCTGACGTTGTGCTTTTAGTATCTCCCTCTTAACAAACTCCCAGCCATCATGAACTCCCTTTCCTTTTAGTATTACTGTCCATGGGATCTCACCCAGCACTTCCCTAAGTTTTATGAAGTCGGCTTTCTTAAAGTCAAGAAATTTAGTCCTAGTATGCTTGGCTGCTCCTTTCCGCTGTATAGTAAACTTCAGAAGAGCATGATCACTCACGCCTAATGATCCTTCCACTTCTACCCCACTAACCAGGTCATCAACATTGGTTAGGACCAGATCTAAAATGGCTGTTCCTCTTGTTGCTTCTCCCACTTTCTGGACAATGAAGTTGTCTGCAAGGCCAGTGAGGAATCTGTTTGACCTTATGCTCTTGGCTGAGTTTGACATCCAACAAATATCCAGGTAATTGAAGTCCCCATTACTACTATCTCCCTTCCTTTTGCATGCTTGGCCATCTGTTCCAGGAAGGCATCATCTATGTCCTCCGTTTGGCTTGGGGATCTATAGTAAACTCCCACAATGAGGTCACTGTTATTCTTCTCTCCCTTAATTTTG